ATGGAGCTTATTGGAGTTTGATTTACAAGGTAATGATCGATGCTGATTGTGTGTGTGTGTGTGTGTGTGTGTGTGTGTGTGTGTGTGTGTGTGTGTGTGTGTGTGTGTGTGTGTGTGTGTGTGTGTGTGTGTGTGTGTGTGTAGGATGCGGGACGCGACATGAAAACGGCGCTGTGTTAAGTGTGTGTGTTTACTAGTTGTGTTTAAGCGGGGGTTGAGCTTTGCTCTTTCGGCCCGCCTCTCAACTGTCAATCAACTGTTTACTAACTACTTTTTTTTCCCACACCACACCCCCCCCCCCCCCCCCCCCCAGGAAGCAGCCCGTGACAGCTGACTAACTCCCAGGTACCTATTTACTGCTAGGTAACAGGGGCACTTAGGGTGAAAGAAACTTTGCCCATTTGTTTCTGCCTCGTGCGGGAATCGAACCCGCGCCACAGAATTACGAGTCCTGCGCGCTATCCACCAGGCTACGAGGCCCCTACGAGGCCCCTGTGTGTGTGTGTGTGTGTGTGTGTGTGTGTGTGTGTGTGTGTGTGTGTGTGTGTTAAGTGTGTGTGTGTGTGTGTGTGTACTCACCTAGTTGTGCTTGCGGGGGTTGAGCTCTGGCTCTTTGGTCCCGCCTCTCAACCGTCAATCAACAGGTGTACAGATTCATGAGCCTATCGGGCTCTGTCATATCTACACTTGAAACTGTGTATGGAGTCAGCCTCCACCACATCACTTCCTAATGCATTCCATTTGTCAACCACTCTGACACTAAAAAAGTTCTTTCTAATATCTCTGTGGCTCATTTGGGCACTCAGTTTCCACCTGTGTCCCCTAGTGCGTGTGCCCCTTGTGTTAAACAGCCTGTCTTTATCAACCCTGTCAATTCCCTTGAGGATCTTCAATGTGGTGATCATGTCCCCCCTAACTCTTCTGTCTAATTAATGTGTATGTGTATGTGTGTGTGTGTGTGTGTGTGTGTGTGTGTGTGTGTGTGTGTGTGTGTGAATATTATTTTTTAAGGGAGGTTAATTTCATTTAAATTTTTAATATTACCCCGAAGGGCGAGTTTATTGGGCAGCGTCGCTCATCCTGTGAGTGAGCACACCGCCATAGCAGCATGTACAACACTCCCCAATAGGAAGAAAACCCGCTGGGTTATTCATCCTGTCACTTGTACCCAGACACAGCTGGGACTTGCTTAACTGTCTCAAGTGAACAATTTACCAAACAAGGCGATTAAGGTGACGGTTATTGGGATGTAACTTAATATTTGTTAAATTAAATTTGTTTCATTAATTGCAAAACTAATTTTTACCGAATGTATATATTTTTTATTTAATAATATAAAACAAAATAAATATCCCAATAATTTGTGTAAAAGCGGGTCATGAAAAATCTAAATATTAACTAATAAAATTTGTTTGAGGATCGAGGCATGATTTGAAGACAGGTTATTTAATGGAATGATATTGTTTTAAGGGAGTTTATTTCCATACACTGATTTGATTTAGGAATTTGTGAGCCTTTGTTTTAGTATTGACCTTTTTTTTGACAAAGTTTGGAAGATTTCATAGCGTCGTACGTGTAAGGAATTGTTATAATTGTTAAATCTATCAAGTATCACAGGTCAAAGTAATAGTAGTTAAGACCTCAGTAAATTTTCACTACTGTACATTATAATTAGTCTTTAATTATACCTAATCTATCCCATCCTAGTCTAACCTAGCCTCACCTAGTCTATCCTAACCCATTATAGCCTAATCTAACCTAACCTATCCCATCCTAGCTTAGCCTAACCTATCCCATCATAACCTAACCTATCCTATCATAACCTTACTTAACCTAACATATCCCATCCTAACCTAACATATCCCATCCTAACCTAACATATCCCATCCTAACCTACCCGAACCAAATCGTAATCTATCTATCCCATCGAAATCTAACCCAGGCTATCCCTTCCTAGACAACTTTGTGTTCCATATATTATACGCACAAAGTGGGTGACGTTACTCTAACGTCATAGTTTGATTCCGGTTTTAGATTAAACTGTCGAAATCGGAAGGTTTTGTATAACTTCATAACCAATAGGTTATATAAGGTTTTGTATAACTTCATAACCAATAGGTTATATAAGGTTTTGTATAACTTCATAACAATTTTGTATAACTTTTGATTCGTAATCAAAATTAATAACATTATATAATTACAGAAAACATCAGTTTTCGTCAAGAGCGGAGGTGGCAGGAACCGCAGCGACCTCTGTGTGCATGATTTGATTGCGGAAAATCGCTTAAAGGAAATAAATTTGTTGAAGGTGGAGAGTGTGGGGAAAGGATGGGGAAGTGAGGGCGCCACAGGTAGGCTGGGAAGGGGAGGGGTTGAGGGGAAGGTGTTTGGGATGTTGGGGGATGAGGGTATTAGGGTGGAATACTAGGGACGGAGGAAGAGATCTTTGAAGAGACGAATCTAGGTTTTTTTAGAGTGAGCGGAAGGTTTTGAGGTGGGTGGTGTGGGGGATACAGGTGTTGGGGAGGGTGAGGGTAAGGGGAGGGTGAGGGTAAGGGGAGGGTGAGGGTAAGGGGAGGGTGAGGGTAGGGGAGGGTGAGGGTAGGTAAATATGAGGCTCCAGGGGAATCAGCCAGGCAGGTCTCCTTCAAAGTACACGGGCTTCAGTATAATCACACGGCCCTCACGATTCGTTCCCAGTCACCTAATCACCCGTGACTTTGGGCGTCGATGGCGGGTATACACCCAGACGATCGCTGGCAGGAATTCGCAATGACCCTTCCCGTCCCATGTTGTTTAAGATTCGCTACTTGGAACAAAAAGTTCCAAGTAGCACGGGCTATGGTGAGCCCGTTGTGGACTTACCTGGCACAGGAGCGGGGCTGGTCCCATCCCATTATACCCGTTCTGTTATACTCTCTCCCGTCACTAGTCTGTCTCATATTTACCCTTCACCTCGTCAGGGGGTTTGATCCGTCATACTTTATAGACAGATTATGTAGATTGTCTGTCGGGAGACATCTCCCGTCACGCAGGGTGCGGTCGCACCTCCACAGATCTCCAGTATCAGCTCTTGATACTGGTAATGGCTCAAAAGGGCCACCACTGACGGGCTATTCATGCCCGTGCCACATTTTGGGTGGCTTAATCTTCATCAATCACTGTCTGTTATTGTGTGTTGTGGGTATGTGTGTCTCACATGAGCTGGAGTTGGATGATAAGCAACAGGAACACGCTTGAAGCAGAAGTTCTGGAAGCCACCTTGTTGCGCAACTTTAAGAGCAAGTATGACAGGAAACACAGATCCGTACGAACAAATCCACAGGGGCCGTGATGAGGGTTCGAACCTATGTGTGTGTTTGTTCATTTGATATATCACGCTATTGGGATTTTTGTTTGTACAGATCCGTACCTTTCACAAATGTTCTCCTGGCGCTAATTCGGGACCTGGTTGTAGAACGATTCGCTGGTCGTGTTCCAGGAAAACCTTGTAGGGTTCAGCTTGAAGTAATGTGTGGGTTGGGAAAGCTCCAAGCGTGCTTGTAGGAGTTAGAAGCCTTACGTTTGTGAAACCTATGTCAATTAAAACAAAGAAAACTCTAAAACGACAATGTACGATAGCAGCGAGGCGGGTCCTAGAGCTGGATCTCATCCCCCCCCCCCCCGTTTGGTACATGTAAGGTACACACACACACACACGCACACGACTCCATACACAGTTTCAAATGTAGATATGATACCTGAGCCCAGTAGGCTCAGGAACCTGTACACCAGTTGATTGACAGTTGAGAGGCGGGACCAAAGAGCCAAAGCTCAACCCCCCGCAAGCACAAATAGGTGAGTACACGCACACACACACGCACATACACACACACACACACACACACACACACACACACACACACACACACACACACACACACACACACACACACACACACACACACACACACACACACACCGTGTAGCCAGACCAAGGCGTTACCTCTCCAACATTACTAATTCATTGGGCCATTTTTTGTCTGGTAGCGGACAAACGAGATAAATTGTCTCCAACACTCATTTGGGAGAGTTTTGTCTCCCGAGAACTTAGAGGCGCCTCAAGGCTGAATTACCAAATTTCCATACAAATGAATCCTCACCAAATTCGCGTTAGACTTAGGGAGTATAAATGACTAAATTGCTACTAGTCTTGGAAATGGGAAGGGGGGGGGGTATAAAGGGAGGTGGTTAAGTGAGGGAGGGTTGTTTAAGAGTAGAGGGAGGCCTCATTTAACAAGGGGGGAGGGGAGAGGGGGCTGTTTAATTGTTAGTCCATTCCTTCAAATACCCACCAATTCAAATGGTCATCTACCATTAAAATGTTTCCCTAGAACTGCTCACCTGCCCTTCAAATGCCCACTTACCTCTCAAATAAGCATGTTGTTTAAGATTCAGCTACTGGAAACTAAAAGTTCCAAGTAGCACGGGCTAAGGTGAGCCCGTGATGGACTTACCTAGCACAGAAGCGGGGCTGAAACTTCTCAAATAAGCATCTACCGTCTAAGAATATATCCTCACCGTTCAGTCTACCCCACAGACCCTGTTTCTAACACTTAATGATGCCCAACTGTTTCTGATACAAATCCCTCGATCTTCAGTTTGTTCACAATTACTGGTATTCTACCCACCCTTCAAGCGCTCTATACGCTTAAACCTTCAAGCACTAAGCTACCTATCAACCAAACACTTAATTGCTAGTCTACCCCTCAAGCTCGGGCAGGTGTAGCGTGCTCTACCACTCACACTCAAGCGCTAATCTGCCCTCAAGTACGGAGAGCCATAGCCACTCATCCTGAGTAATGACCTCTGGTGTGAAAAAGTGGTTGATAATTACTGTTAATGAAACGGGGAAACGAGATTGAGAAATGGTAATTAAATACGGGAGATATAACGATGTCGTTAGTAAGAGTGGTAATGGTGGTTCTGTAGTTAGTGAAGAGGTCGGAGATGCTGCTTTATCAGGGCCGCCACACTTTACACCTTTGGCAACGATTGGCGCCGCTGGGGAAAGGTGTCTTGGGTTGGGGAAAGATGTCTTGGGTTGGGGAAAGATGTCTTGGGTTGGGGAAAGATGTCTTGGGTTGGGGAAAGATGTCTTGGGTTGGGGAAAGATGTCTTGGGTTGGGGGAAGATGTCTTGGGTTGGGGAAAGATGTCTTGGGTTGGGGAAAGATGTCTTGGGTTGTGGAAAGATGTCTTGGGTTGTGGAAAGATGTCTTGGGTTGGGGAAAGATGTCTTGGGTTGTGGAAAGATGTCTTGGGTTGGGGAAAGGTGTCTTGTGTTGGGGAAAGATGTCTTGGGTTGGGGAAAGATGTCTTGGGTTGGGGAAAGATGTCTTGTGTTGGGGAAAGATGTCTTGTGTTGGGGAAAGATGTCTTGTGTTGGGGAAAGATGTCTTGTGTTGGGGAAAGATGTCTTGTGTTGGGGAAAGATGTCTTGGGTTGGGGAAAGATGTCTTGGGTTGTGGAAAGATGTCTTGGGTTGGGGAAAGGTGTCTTGTGTTGGGGAAAGATGTCTTGGGTTGGGGAAAGATGTCTTGTGTTGGGGAAAGATGTCTTGCGTTGGGTAAAGATGTCTTGTGTTGGGGAAAGATGTCTTGGGTTGGGGAAAGATGTCTTGTGTTGGGGAAAGACGTCTTGGTGGAGAAATTCATCAATCTTGGAGTTGCTGTCACCATCAGCATCATCATCATCATCACCCATCGTTAAGGCCGAGGGGCCGAGGTGTAGGAGAGTATAGATAACAATTAAAACTTGTCGAGTGGGGAGCAAATTACCTTATATTCCCCCCCACCTCTCAGTCCTCCCCCGCCCCCGGCCTCGAAACTTTCCCTGCCGCTTTATTCTTGATGGAGGTGTGCTTATTTATGAGTTAACTTTGTGCTGTGTGGTCGCTGCAGGCTGTTGATTTATGGGTAATGGTGTGAGTTTTACCTCCCTGATGATACCAATCCTTTATCAGACCACTTTCCAGCCCCTGCCTCTTCCAGTCAGCCATGCTGCCAGCTCTCTTGTCTTCCAGCTTGGCTTCTCCTGCTGGCTTAGGCTTGTGGTTAGTTGGCTTCTCCTGCTGGTTTAGGCTTCTGGTTAGTTGGCTTCTCCTGCTGGTTTAGGCTTCTGGTTAGTTGGCTTCTCCAGCTTGTTTAGGCTTCTGGTTAGTTGGCTTCTCCTGCTGGTTTAGGCTTCTGGTTAGTTGGCTTCTCCAGCTGGCTTAGGCTTCTGGTTAGTTGGCTTCTCCAGCTGGTTTAGCCTTCTGGTCAGTTGGCTTCTCCTGCTGGCTTAGGCTTGTGGTCAGTTGGCTTCTCCAGCTGGCTTAGGCTTCTGGTCAGTTGGCTTCTCCAACTGGCTTAGGCTTCTGGTCAGTTGGCTTCTCCAACTGGCTTAGGCTTCTGGTCAGTTGGCTTCTCCAGCTGGTTTAGGCTTCTGGTCAGTTGGCTTCTCCAGTTGGCTTAGGCTTCTTGGCTTCTCCAGCTGGCTTAGGCTTGAGGGTCAGTTGGCTTCTCCAGCTGGCTTAGGCTTGAGGGTCAGTTGGCTTCTCCAGCTGGATTAGGCTTTGGTCAGTTGAGGCGCATTGCACGGTCTCCATTTTTGTTTCCTTTGGCTTCCGTATGAATTTGCTGCTCGCCTTTCTTCTTCTTTTAAAATTATATTTGTTTCCATTTTCCATTGAGTCATAGAGACACGTATCTTATCTTACACCAGCGACTCGCATCTCTGTTTCTTCGATTTAGATGATGAATGAAAGTTTCTTTGCTTTCCCGAGAGTACAGAATGGCCGGGTAAATTCCGTTTTCTTTGATGATTGATGAGGACTGGAGGCCAACCGTTCACCGCCAATATATAAACAATTCGTTCAGTATTTGTATTCCTTTGAATGTTTTATGAATCAATCATTGAGAAACGATACCTGATCAGCCAAATCATTCGCCAGACTGCGAACAGCGGAATCTAACAGCCTGGTTGAGCAGATCACCAGGATATTGATCCTCTGAACCACGTTAAGATAACCCCCAAAGATAGGCAAGATTAAAGTAATCATTAATAATAACGATTACTTTATTATCAAATGTGAAATATATATATATAGGTCTGGTGCGTTATAGAGTTGCCAGTAACTCCTGGTAGTTTTATTATCCGTGTTTATTTACTTTATCGTTGCTCAATACAAGTAAAAAGTTTTATTTGCAGGAAGTGAAAGTGAGGTGGAGTTTGGCACTGGCTGGCCGGTGTTGGTAGAGTGTAAAATATGAACCTTGCTTTTATTACTTGTTTTTTCCCTCTTAAGAGATGCGCCAACGTCTCTTTGGAGGAAAAAAAAACTCTTTCGTCCCTCTGCATCTCTTTCCCCTTTATTCCTATACCCAACCACTCGGACAGCGACTGTTCTTCTTGCAGGTCGGCGTTCGATCCCCGGCGGTCCAAGGGGCTGAAAGCCTTTCTTTCCCCCTCCGTCCTATCCCGGATCCAGGTCCTCGTATCTCTTCCAAGAGATACCACTCTCTCCTGGTAATTTATGTTTGGAATTTATGTCATTCGTTTTCACGTGTCGATTGATTAGTTGGATGGTAACATTTGCGTGAACTTGTGGATGGAGCCTTGCAGTTGACTTCTTATTTACAATTATTACTTAATCTATCAACTTTATAGGTTAAGTAATAATTGTAATTACGAAGCAATAAGATGCTTATCTTAACATACTAAAAAGGTCAGGTGAGGTCGATGTTTTCTATGAAGCTTTTCAAGGTAAACTAAAATATTCACAATCAATTAGTATGTCACATATGCACTTATTAAATAAGCCAATATTGACTAAAAGCAAGTGCGAGAACGGGTTGGGGCTGGATATAAACAAGAGCTTCCTCGGGTGGTCAAGAGGCTCTCTGCACTTTCCTCTGTTCTTATGCAATTGTTTTGTTAAGTTATTTGGGATTCGGAAGTTATTTTCGCTTACAAAGATCGACGTTTATGATCTTGTACACATAAATATGTATAAATATATAATCGATCTATCTTGAGTTATCAAGAGAGTTATCAAGATAGATAGGCTTTCGTATGTATACATACGTATCGTAAACGTACATACGTATACGTACGTATACATCGTAAACGAGTTCACAATCGACTTGAGAATGGTCCAGGACGGACCGAAACGTCGTCGTCCCTTCAATTTCTAGTGTGTGGTCTGGTCAACATACTTCAGCCACGTTATTGTGACTCATCGCCTGCATCGTAAACGATGTATACGTTTGTGATCTGTGTAATACACAGTCGCACAAACACACACGCACTAACACCTTTTACGATAACCACACATCACCGACGATAACCTCATGCCTCACCATCTACACAAATTCATCGTTTGTATCTAGTTTACCAAGTCTTATGAATTATAAAAAAAAGCCTTCAGGTCGACATGACTGTTTTATTTACAATATGTTTGGGAGTCAGAAGAAATTACAATAGGGAGATGAAACAAGTAAAGTAATTGCCGGGCAGCCTCAAGAGAGCCATCGGCACGGCTGGCGCGATCACCCCAGCCATGGCGCGCGCGGGAAAAAAGCCCGCCAATTTTTCTTCCTTCTTAGCGATGTTTCCACTACATAATGTCTTTCCCGCGCAAGTTTAGGCGTCGATGATCGTGTGAAATTTAGCCTGTTTTCTTGTCCTTTATGTATGTGTGTGTGTGTGAGTGTGTGTGTTTCCGATGTGTTCGTTTATTTGAAGGATAACCGGAGGGTTTAAGACGAAGATTTGTGAGAAAATTGTTTGGTTTTCGTTCTTGTAGCTCTCTCTCTCTCTCTCCACTCACCCACCGTTAGTCCTACCTTCATCGTAGATCTACTTCAGGAATTACATTAATATGAGACTATCCCAAGAGGTGGTGTTTGTATATAGCAATTATCTGCTTCTTGATAGATTGGTTCTCTTGCTTATTCCTTGCCCGCTGCACATGGCAATTGTCTAGATACGTTTGTTGCAGATGAAAGCTGCAATATCTTTATATAGCTGTGTTTATCCTTGTCTATATAGCTGTCGGAGGATGTCAGTCTACCGTGTTGATCTGTCTGGTTACAAATGCGTGGTTTATCATTTTTTATTTTTTATTTCTGTTGTTTAATCAGTTCGCATGTTGCACTTTGCTTCCATCCTCAACTCTCTTCATCCATTTATTCTTATAAACTTCCCCAGAAACTGTCATCATTTACGATGATAATAAAGTAACAGGATCTGCCGACCAGTTCGGGACGAGCCTTTAGTGGATAGAATCTAATAAAGACTTGTCTTCGACCGTCGTGTCTGTGAACAGTGGCCTTAATGCCTTACTACCGTTTGTTGTTGTTTTAGATTCAGCTACTGGGAACAAAAAAATTGCAAGTAGCACGGGCTATGGTGATCCCATAGTGGACTTGCCCGGCACAGGAGCGGGGCTGTAACTGATGAAGACGTGAGGAAACGTCTTTGTCTTTACTACCTTTCCAGCGTCTTTATTTAGCAGAAGATGCGTGCGCTGTCCGTGTGATCTTAAGTCAGCCTGGCCTGGATTAAGGCGACACCGTCCTCTGACCGTCTTGCCATTACAGTGTCTGGAGTATTTATGTTCAAATATGTTTTTTTGTAATACCAATATGTGTGTGTGTGTGTGTGTGTGTGTGTGTGTGTGTGTGTGTGTGTGTGTGTGTGTGTGTACTCACCTAATGGTGCTTGCAGGGGTTGAGCTCTGGCTCTTTGGTCCCGCCTCTCAACTGTCAGTCAACCGGTGTACAGATTCGTGAGCCTGCTGGGCTCTATCCTATCAACATTTGAAACTGTGTATGTGCCTCCACCACATCACTGCCTAATGCATTCAAAACATTCACAATTCTGATGCAGAAACAATTCTTTCTATTATCAATGTGTCTCTTATGTCCTGTTTCCACTTGTGTTCCGTTGTTCATGTGCCGGCCATTTCGAGTAATCTTCCTTTATCTATGTTGTCTCTTCCCATGAGAATTTGCTATGGTTTCATGTTTATGTATATTTCTGTATTTATGAGTAATTACCTAAGTGTAATTACCTAAGTGTAGTTACAGGATGAGAGCTACGCTCGTGGTGTCCCGTCTTTCCAGCACTCTTTGTCATATAACGCTTTGAAACTACTGAAGTGTGTGTGCACTGGCGCGTGTGGAGAAGCAACAGGGGCGACAATGACCCTGGCGGTTAAATACAAAACAGCAGTTTTAAAGAGTTATTTTAATCTTATTGATAAGGAATGCGAGGAGCCGTGTTGGTAGTGGAGGTCAGCCTCTCTCTCTCCTCCTGCCCTGCAAGTCGTTCTGTTCGTGTAGAAACACTACTGGTGGTGCAATCTGCACCGGGTTTGATCTTTGCAATAGCATGTGCAATAAAAGGATTCAATTTGTCTCCGCCTTGCAATAAAAAGTAATGAAAAGTAACCCCTCATTCGCGCGCAGCGGAATGGCTCTTCTGGGAGCTGGGCGGAGGTCGGAGGGACGGACACCAGGGGATGTGAGCTGTGCTCCTGTCTTGGGCAGGAATTGTTCACCTCCTCCACGATGTGAAGGAAGTTTTGTGTCGTAAATTATCTCCCTCGTCCTGGCCTCGACTTTGGTATTTATGGCCGTGGGACTCCGTGTTGGACCTGGTGGATGGATTGGCTCCTCGGGTCCTGGAATGTGCTCCTCGGGTCCTGGAATGTGCTCATG